GAGAAAGCTGAGTGCTGAAAAATTGATGCTTTTGAACTGTGGTGTTGGAGAAGACTCTTGAGAGTCCCTTGGACTGCAAGGAGATCCAACCAGTCCATCCTAAAGCAGATCAGTCCTGGGTGTTCATTGGAAGGACTGATGTTGAAGCTGAAACTCCAATACTTTGGCCACCTCATGCAAAGAGGTGACTTATTGGAAAAGACCCTGATGCTTGGAGGGATTGGGGGCAGGAGGAGAAGGGGACGACCGAGGATGAGATGGCTGGATGGCATCACCGACTCGATGGGCATGAGTTTGAGTAAACTCCAGGAGTTTGTGATGCACAGGGAGGCCTGGCATGCTGTGATTCATGGGGTCGCTGAGCAACTGAACTGAACTGAACTGAACTGAACTGAAGCTTGTATGAGATAGCTAACATATCCAGTAAAGAGTCTTCACAAACTAACTCTTAGTTCAGTTCAGTTCAGTTGCTCAGTCGTGTCTGACTCTTTGTGACAAAGTATTAGAGCTTCAGCTTCAGCATCAGTCCTTCCAATGAACACCCAGGACTGATCTCCTTCAGGATGGACTGGTTGGATCTCCTTGCAGTCCAAGGGACTCTCAAGAGTCTTCTCCAACACCACAGTTCAAAAATATCAAGTTTTGGCTCTCAGCTTTCTTCACAGTCCAACTCTTACATCCATACATGACCACTGGAGAAACCATAGCCTTGACCAGACGGATCTTTGTTGGCAAAGTAATGTCTCTGTTTTTTAATATGCTATCTAAGTTGGTCATAACTTTCCTTCCAAGGAGTAAGCATCTTTTAATTTCATGGCTGCTGTCACCATCTGCAGTGATTTTGGAGCCCAGAAAAATAAGGTGTGACACTGTTTCCACTGTCACCCCATCTATTTCTCATGAGGTGATGGGACCAGATGCCATGATCGTAGTTTTCTGAATGTTAAGATTTAAGCCAACTTTTTCACACTCCTCTTTTGCTTTCATCAAGAGGCTTTTTAGTTCCTCTTCACTCTCTGCCATAAGGGTGGTGTCATCTGCATATCTGAGGTTATTGATATTTCTCCTGGCAATCTTGATTCCAGCTTGTGCTTCTTTCAGCCCAGCGTTTCTTATGTTGTACTCTGCATATAATTTAAATAAGCAGGGTGACAACATACAGACTTGACGTAATCCTTTTCCTATTTGGAACCAGTCTATTGTTCCATGTCCAGTTCTAACTGTTGCTTCCTGACCTGCATACAGGTTTCTCAAGAGGCAGGTCAGGTAGTCTGGTATTCCCATCTCTTGAAGAATTTTCCAGTTTATTGTGATCCACACTGTCGAAGGTTTTGGTGTAGTCAATAAAGCAGAAATAGATGTTTTTCTGGAACTCTCTTGGTTTTTCAACGATCCAGTGGATATTGGCAATTTGATCTCTGGTTCTTCTGCCTTTTCTAAAACCAGCTTGAACATCTGGAAGTTCTCAGTTCACGTATTGCTGAAGCCTGGCTTGGAGAATTTTGAGCATTACTTGACTAGCGTGTGAGATGAGTGCAATTGTGCAGTAGTATGAGGCATTGCCTTCTGTGGCATTGCCTTTCTTTGGGATTGGAATGAAAACAGACCTTTTCCAGTCCTATGGCCACTGCTGAGTTTTCCAAATTTGCTGGCATATTGAGTGTTCCATTTTCACAGCATCATCTTTTAGGATTTGAAATAGCTCAACTGGAATTCCATCACATCCCTGGTTTTGTTCATAGTGATGCTTTCTAAGGCCCACTTGACTTCACATTCCAGGATGTCTGGCTCTACGTGAGTGATCACACCATTGTGATTATCTGGGTCATGAAGATCTTTTTTGTACAGTTCTTCTGTGTATTCTTGCCACCTCTTCTTAATATCTTCTGCTTCTGTTAGGTCCATAGTATTTCTAACTAAACTAACTCTTAACATACTTTCAAAATCTGAAACATGGTAACTACCTTAGTTAAAGAGGGCTTCTTTGGTGGCTCAGACAGGAAAGAATCTGCCTGGAGGACAGACCTGGGGTCAGTCCTTGGATTGGGAAGATCACCTGCAGAAGGCAATGACTATCCAGCCCAATTTCCTGCCTGAAGTATTCCATGGATAGAGGAGCCTGCGGGCTACACTCCATGTGGTTGCAAAAAGCTGGACACAACTGGGCCACTAACACTTTCATACTTTCACTAGTTAAAGAACACTAGGCATTCAGCTCAGTGAAATGACAAAATAATGATAATCAATCAAAATATCTATTAGTTTATAAATGAGACACAAATATTTGAACAGAAATTTGACTTAATCTATCAATTTTTTATTAGAGAAATATTAATTGAGCCCAACATATGTGCAAGGTATTATAATCAGAGTTGGTTATTCCATGATGCACAGAATAGAGGTGGTTCTGCAGTCATCATTAGGTTTGGAGAGACTTGAATGAAAAGGTTTAGAAATAATGCAATAAAGATGAAGACTTTTCAGTAAACCAGGGGAATTGTGGCCAGAAATTCTGCTTTGGCAGTGGCATTGAAAATAAAGTGTCTACTGTAGAGAATTTGTGAGGCAAACTTAAAATTTCAAATTCCAAGGAGGACAGGAAAAGTAAAAAAAACACAGAAGCATAATGACAACTGGAATGAGAATATATTTTCTTAATGCCTGTCATTCATGATTAAACATAGCAGAGTCATAAGATTATACCAGTGATCAATAGTAAAAAAAAAAAGGTTGAATGATTTCTCAACTGAAGGAAAAATGCCTAATATTGAAAACTCTCAGAAAATAAAATCAGAAGCTTGATGAAATTTCCTTCTGAAGGCATTCAATAAAGTATTGGATTACCACTCATCTCACTGTTGTTGAAATTTGGGTGTACAATAGAAGACTTTATGGTTCTTATCATAAAAAATAACAAGTATTGGAATCTGCTTGATTATGAAAGATAGTGGTATACCTAGGCAAGTGAGATAAGCAAAAATAACACCCCACCCAACTTTAATATAGAAAAAGCAAGAGAGTTCCAGAAAAACATCTACTTCTGCTTTATTGACTATGCCAAAGCCTTTGACTGTGCGGATCACAACAAATTGTGGAAAATTCTTCAAGAGATGGGAATACCAGACCACCTTGCCTGCTCCTGCAAAATCTGTATGCAGGTTAAGAAGCAACACTTAGAACTGGACATGGAACAATGAACTGGTTCCAAATTGTGAAAGGAGTAAGTTAAGACTGTATACTGTTACCCTGTTTATTTAACTTCTAAGCAGAGTACATCATGCAAAATGCTAGGCTGGATGAAGCACAAACTGGAATCAAGGTTGCTGGGAGAAGTATCAATAACCTCAGATAAGCAGATGACACCACGCTTATAGCAGAAGATAAAGAGGAACTGAAGAGGCTCTTGATGAAAGTGAAAGAGGAGAATGAAAAAAAACTGGCTTAAAACTCAACATTCAAAAAACTAAGATCATGGCATCTGGTCCCATTACTTTATGGCAAATAGATGGGGAAACAATGGAAACAGTGAGAGACTTTATTTTCTTGGGCTCCAAAATCACTGCAGATGATAACTGCAGCCATGAAATTAAAAGACGCTTGCTCCTTGGAAGAAAAGCTATGACCAACCTAGATAGCATATTAAAAAACAGAGACATTACTTTGCCAACAAATTCTGTCTAATCAAAGCTTTGGATTTTCTAGTAGTCATGTATGGATGTGAGAGTTGGACTATAAAGAAATCTAAATGCCAAAGAATTGATGCTTTTGTACTGTGTTGTTGGAGAAGACTCTTGAGAGTCCCTTGGACTGCAAGGATATCTGACTAGTCCATCCTAAAGGAAATCAGCCCTGAATATTCATTGGAAGGACTGATGCTGAAGCTAAAGCTTCAATACTTTGGCTACCTGATGCAAAGAACTGACTCATTGGAAAATACCCTGTTACTGCAAAAGATTGAAGGCAGGAGGAGAAGGGGACAACAGAGGATGAGATGGTTGGATGGCCTCACCACCTCAATGGACATGAGTTTGAGCAAGCTCTGGGAGTTAATGATGGACAGGGAACCCTGACTTGCTGCAGTCCATGAGGTGGCAAAGGATAGGACATGACTGAGCAACTGAACTGAACTGAGCTGAACTGAAACTTTAAAAAGTTACATATGTTTTTTGGCTGCATGTTTGGCAATAGAAAATTCAGGTGTTTAGTTTAGAGTGAGATGGAAGAGTAGGTTTGTATTTAGACATCTATAGAGAGAGAAACTTACTTGTAAACAGACAGTTATACTGTAATGTTTCTATTCTCAGTACTATTGACATTCTGGATTATTTTTATTTTGGTTATTACATGTTGTTCTGTGCCCTGGAGAATTAGTAGCATGCTTGGGTTCTATAACAAGATGCCAATTGGTATTGGGCAATAGGTATCTGGGTGAAGAAGTCTGGCAAGAAATTACAAGGATTCAAGAAAATGGACAGACATTTGTTTTCAAGTGATCAGAGGTAGATGTGAAAATAAAGAAGATAAAGTTAAGTGGAATTTTTTTTTAACATTTCCACCCAAACCTTTTAAAATAAGATACATATTAAATGATAGGAAGTTTTGAAAATGGGCATCTGCTACTGAGCATATGATTCTAGTGAGAAATTTTTTGGCAGAGGAAAATTAAAATGATGCTCTTTAAGTGAAATGAGTCTCCAAAATAAGAAGCTATTTTAAGCAAAGCATCATTGGTCAACAGTGATTAGCTCATAATGTTGCTTCCATATTTTCTGTCTATGTCAGGGAATGAATGGCATGCTCTGCCAATTACTGACAGTATATAAAGGTCCAAGGGAAGGAGAAGACACACACACTTCAGAAACATCCTCTTGCAGTCCACCCGAATCCTCTTCCCTTGACGACATGTGTTGTAACTACTATGGCAACTCCTGTGGCTATGGCTGTGGAAACAGCTATAGCTGTGGATTCAGCCCCTATTATGGTTGTGGATATGGAACTAGATACGGATGTGGATACAGCTCAGGATATGGCTCAGGATACGGCTGTGGATATGGCTGTGGATATGGTTCAGGATACAGGTGTGGATTTAGCCCTTATTATGGCTGTGGCTATGGAACCAGATATGGCTGTGGATATGGCTCTGGCTCTGGCAGCTACTGGCCAGTTTGCCCAGGAGATGCTATTCTGCTTGCTGCTAGAACATCACCATCTAAACCCTTTTTTGAAGCATCTAAACATAATGCCGATTCAAGGATTTATAACCCATGATTTCCACTTGCAAGAAATTACATGCCTGACAGAGGCTTTGACCTGCAAATACCCTTTTAGATTGGCATCTTTGAGCCCTGAATCTTCTTGATAGTATCTCTGACTCTTTTGCAAATGTTAATCTTTATTCTCTGAATCTCTGTTATGACTGTATTGATGATCCTAACAAAATCACTTGTTCTCAATAAAAATGGTTCATTGTTTCTATCAAATCTCTGTGTACTTGCTTGTGAATTAGTCTTTTTCCAGGCATTGTAGACTCAGTTGAAAACTGGGCAAACATGATGCATGAAGTTTGAGTTCTTATTTGATATAATGCAAACATTTCTTTTCATATCTGCGTCAGAAATAATGTCTTCTCCACGTGTTTCTTGTATCTCATGTACTCAGGCACTCACATACCCAAGCACAAATCTCCCAGTATTTCAGAACTGTGCTTTGTAAATCCCACTGTGTCTAGGATGGAACTAAAGGGGAAAGAACTTTATTCAGGAAGTTAATGCGAAGTCCAAGGTAGACAAAAGATGACCTGAGTGCTTAAAAGAGAGGAAGAGATACTTTCCAGGTTAATGAGAATTAGAATTAGACATAGGAATTAAGAACATGAGAATAAAGAACTAGGCAACAGAAAAGTAATAATAGAAATGTATTTATGTTGTCTGCTTTGATGGAATTCCTACGTATTTGCATATGCTGAGGTTGAGGAAATTAATTTCAATCGCTTAACTGACAAATAGTTTTGAGTATTTTTGAAAGGGTCTCAAATTAGACAGCGAAGACAATGTAGGTAAATTAAAGACAAGCCTCTTGCTTTCACAGTGTTTATGTTCCAACATGTGAATATAGAAAAACAAACAGCAAAAATAATTCAGATAATTTGAGACTGACAATTGGAGTGGAGGGAATAAAATAGCTAAATGTGAAAGAGAGTAAAAGTTGAAGTATTAGAGAGTTTGTTCAGGGAGGTATTTTGAACTTGTGACAAATGAGCTGATGTCAGTTGCAAAGAAAGGACAGTAGCAAGTGTAAATGGGAGAAAATTTATGAAGTTTTGTAACAATATGATTTGTTAGTTATGTATGAGATAATTCACACATCTAAAAAAGTGTTTTCGCAAAGTAACTCTTAATATACCTTCAAAATCTGAAATATTGCAACTCCTTTAATCAAAGAACACTTGAGACACTCAGCTTTAGGAAAATGAGAAAATGATAATAATATATTAAAATATCTTACAGTTTATAATTGCTACATAAGTATTTGACTTCATCTATGTTTTTGTTGGAGAAATATTAAGTGCAAATTATGTGCTAGGCACTATTGTCAGAGTTGGTTATTCAGTGATGTACAGAAAAGATATTGTTTCTGTTGTTTTGTATCTAGACATCTGAATGAAAGGTATTAGAACTAGTGCAATAAATATAGAAGACCTTTCAATAATTCAGAGATATTGTGGACAGAAAGTGTGTGCTGTCAGTAGTATTGAACAGTGAAGTGTCTATGCTGGAGAAATCTGTTATGATGACAGAAAAGAAAAGAAATTGAAGAATGACAAAATTTTTTATGACTATTACTAGGGATTAAACATAGCAGGGGGATCAGATTAGACCAGTGACTAATATGAGAAAAACATAGGTAGAAAGATTTTTCCACTGGAAAAAAAATTGTCTAATAAAGAATGTTCTTAGAAAATGAAATCAGGAGCTTGGTGAAAATTCCTGTTGAAGGCATTCCATAGACTACTGGGTCATAACTCATTTTTTTTTGCTGAAATATGCGTGTCGAGTAGAAGGAATCATCCTTGAGTTTACAGTCCATTCCAACTCGGATTTGCACAGTTGTTACTGTAATTTGTTGCTGTTTTTCAGCCTCTTGGTCATGTCCAGCTGTTTGTGATGCCATGGATTGCAGCTCGCCAGGCTTCCCTGGGCTTCACTATCCCTCTGAGCTTCCTCAAACTCACGTCCATTGAGTCAGTGAGGCCATCCAACCATCTCACCCTCTGTCAATCACTTCTCTTTTTGCCCTCAGTCTTTCCCAGCATCAGGGTCTTTTACAATGAGTTACTATAATCCATTACTTCAATTTTGGTAAGAAATGAAAGAGGAATAGTAACAAGTGATACCACAGACACACAAAAGGTCATAAGAGAAAGTTAACAATTCTATGCTAACAAATTAGACAGTCTAGAGAAAACAGACAAATTTCTAGAAATTTGTCTAGAAATACACAATCCCAAGATTGAATCAAGAAGGAAGGAATAGACAATTTGAATAGACTGATGACTAGAAGTGAAATTGAATCTGTACTTTGAAAACCTTCTAGCAAGCAAAAGGTCCAAGACTGGAGGGCTTCACAGGGCAATTCTATCAAATATAAAAGAAGAAATAAACGTATCATTCTCATACTATTCCAAAGAATTGAGGATGAGGGAACACTTCCAAATTCATTCTACAAGGCCACCATTACGCTAGTATCAAACCCAGAAAAAGAGACTACAGAAAAGAGAAAATGATAGTCCAATATCTTCAATGAAGATTGATACAAAAATTCTCAACAAAATATTAACAAATAAAATTCAACAATATGAAAAGGATCAAATACCATGACTGAGTTGGATTTATTTGAGACTCACAAGGTTTGATCAATGTGTGTGATACACCACACTAACAACAATAACAAAAAGACAAAAACCATAGGATCATTTGATAGATGCAGAAAATGCATTTGAAAAAGTCAACATCCATTCATGATGAAAACTCTTGTCATAGTGGGTGTAGAAGAAAAATATCACAGCCTAGTCAAAGCTGCTCATTTATGGCAAACCCACAGCCAACATAATAGTCAGTATTGAAAAGTTTAAAGCCTTCCTGCTAAGTTCAGAAACATGACAATCATGCTCACGCTCACCACTTCTACTTAAGATAGAACTGGGAGTTGTAGCTACAGCAGTCAGACAAGAAAAAGCAATAAAAACATCAGGATTGGAAAGGAAGAGGTGACGCTCACTATTTGCACATGATACGGTCCTTTATAGTTCAGTGCAGGCGCTCAGTCGTATCGGACTCTTTGCGACTCCATGGACTACAGTGCACCAGGCTTCCCTGTCCATCACCAACTCCCGGAGCTTGTTCAAACTCATGTCCATCACGTTGGTGATGCCATCCAACCATCTCATCCTCTGTTGTCCCCTTCCCCTCCTGCCTTCAATCTTTCCCAGCATCAGGGTCTTTTCCAATGAGTCAGTTCTTTGCATCAGGTGGCCAAAGTATTGGAGCTTCAGCTTTAGCATCAGTCTTTTCTTTTTCTTTTTTTAGCATCAGTCTTTTCAGTGAATATTCAGGACTGATTTCCTTTAGGACTGACTGGTTTGATTTCCAAGCAGTCCAAGAGATTCTCAAGAGTCTTCTCCAATACCACAGTTCAAAAATATCAATTCTTCTGTGCTCAGCTTTCTTTATGACACAACACTCACATCCATACATGACTACTGGAAAAACCATAGCTTTGACTAGACGAACATTTGTCAGCAAAGAAATGTCTCTGCTTTTTAATATGCTGTCTAGGTTGGTCATAGCTTTTCTTTCAAGGAGCAAGCATCTTTTAATTTCATGGCTGCAGTCAACACCTGCAGTGATTTTGTACTTTATATAGAGAACTCAATTCTCCACCTTCAAACTATAAATAACTAATAAATTGAGTAAGCTGCATGATACAAGATTAATATACAGAAATATAATTATATTATAATTATATATAATTAGAAATATATAATATTTCTAATAACAATATAATAATATTATATAATATAATAATATAATATATTATAATATATAATATATTATATAATACTATATAATATATTGTTATATATTATATAATAATATATATAATATAATAATATAATATATTATACTATGATATAATAATATAATATATTATATTATAATATATAATAATATAATATATTATATATTATAATATAATTATAATATATAATATATTATATAATACTATATAATATATTGTTATATATTATATAATAATATTATTATATTATATATTATATATAAATAATATAATATATAACAATAATATAATATAATATAATAATATTATAATATAAATATATAATACAGAAATATAATTCTGTATAATTAATATACAGAAATATAATATAGATGTTTCTATATCTTATAATAAAACATTCAGAAGAGAAAGTAAAATGAATATCATATAAAACTGCATCAAAAAATACCTAGGAATAAACCTAGACACAGAGATGAAAGACCTATACTCTGAAAACTATAAAACTTTCATTAACAAAATTGCAAATTATATATAAAAAAGAAAATATACCTTATGTCTTTAGATAGTAAGAAATAATATTAAATATGGGCATACTACCAAAAGATTTAATGTAATCTCCATCAGACTAACTATGACATTTTTCACAGTAGAAAACAGAACAGACTTTTTTTTTAATTCACAGAATTAGAATAGATAATCTTAAAATTCATAGAAAAATAATCTTAAAAGTAGAACAGCAAAAGATCCCCAATTTCCAAAGAACTCTTCAGAATAAAGGACAAAACTGGACAACCCTCCAAAAGTTCAGACAATACTACAGCGTGGTGTTTGCCCCAAAATAGGGCTTCCCAATTGTTGCCGTGGTATGCGCTGCCAATACAGGAGACTCAAGAGACATGGGTTTGATCCCTGGGTCTGGAAGATCCTTTGGAGTAGGAAATGGAAAGCCACTCCAGTATTCTTGCCTAGAACATACCATACACAGAGGAGCCTGGTGGGC